CCCCAGACCCCACCCCCTGTAGCTGTCTGGGAGTAGAGGGGCTGAAATTGGGCGGGGCGGGGCGCGGCGGGGGGCGGAGGGGACGGGAATCTGCCTGAGTACCAGTGGCAAAAGAAAAAAAAATTTTTTAAAGAATTGGGGGGCTGGGGGGAGGAGTGTGTGAAGAGGGGAGTAGCGTGATAGGGACGCGGGCATGGGTAAACCAGACCAGCGGCTCCCTTCTAGGGAAGAATTAGGTCTGGCCCTTTAAGAGTGGATTCTCCCTTGCCTCTCCCCAGTCCGGCAAGTAGACCAGTTATGGGCTGGACAAAGATTCAGCCTTCTCTGCCCGTGACACCCACTGCCCACAGATCCACATCTGAGCTAGAATTTAAGGGTCCTAGATCCTACACTAAGTCCTTCCCACTCCCCTCCCTGTCCTGGAGTTGAAGGTGCTCCCTAATGAGCCTACCCTTCAGGGTGAAAACTGGTGTCACCCATGAGGCCCTGGGGGGCTGTAGAGGGCTGCAGAGGGGGTATGGGAGGCCCTTTGTGCCACAGGTGGAGGTGTGCGCTGGAATCCTGGGAGCAGACACTCGCCCAGAGAAGGGAAAGGATGAACTCAGTCTCCACCCAACCTCCCAGCACTCACCAAGCAGCTGCCTGTGACTCTGCTAAAAATATCTGCCCCTGGCCCTGGCTCCTGGGCTGGAGGTTGCCCAGAGCTGGGGAAATCCAGGCCGCCTGGCATCAGGTGCCAGCAGGACCCGCTTCGATCTTCACTGTCTGCCTCATTCCCTCTGGCCCCAGCTCAGGCCAGCTGTTAGGGCACATCCAGGGCCTCCAGGTTCAGACTCCCACCAGGAGGGGAGTAAATGGAGAGTGTAGTCAAGGGGTGGGCAGAGTCTTAGCCACCCCTTGGTGCCACCACTGCTCAGAGCTTATCCTCTCAATTTCAGAGGAAGAATGGGGGCCTGGTACACAGAGGGAAGGAGATGGAATGGGAGGCTTGGTTCCTCGTCCTGGCTCTGGGTCTGGCCTCTCCCCCAGCCTCAGGGTGCCCAGCTATAAATTGGGCATCATGACCTGTTCTCCCTTTGCTCAGCTCCATGGTGAGGGTTTGGGGGTAGACAGGATGTGTTTTGTGACAGAAATGTGCTATCAGACTCTGACGTTTGGTTGTGACAAGTGTGGTGGGGGTGGAAAGGCACCCATTCCGGGCTCAGGTGACATCACAGATGAATGGACCCTGATGGGCTGTCATAGGTTGTCATGGAGACCTGGGCCAGGCTCTCTGGCTGCTGCGTCGGTTTCCTTGGCAACACCTAGGCAAGCCTTGGACTGAGGAGGGCCTAAGGTTAGTGGGTTCATGCAGAGTCCTCTTGTTCTTAAGGTCCTCAAAGTAGGCAAGAGCTGGGCTGAGGGGTGCTCTGTCCATTTGTGTCCTCCCCATGGTCCTGGGGGATCTTGGAGGCCTGGGTAGCTCCATGCTGGCCCTGGCTTCCTGGACGAAGTCCAGTGGGAAGAGGGAGTTATGGGCAGAGCCTCCTGTCAGAGGACAGAAGTCTAAAGAGCCAGCATGCCACTTCCCATCAAAAATCCTGCCCCCAACCCCCACTGTGCCACTGGAAAGAAGCCCTAGGTGTCTGGCAGAGAGTGGGGATGGGAGGTAGCTGTGGCCCTTCCCAGCAGGGGGCCATGCAAGGAAACAGGGCTGGGTTTTCCCCCTGGTAATCTGAGCTCTTGACTTCAGTCGTGTTTCTTCATTGCCAAGGGAACTGTATCCACAAAGGGCCACTCAGACCCCAGGCATTCTGGTGGCTGCCTCAACAGGCCAGAGACACTCACCACAAGCCTAGGTTTGCCCAGGGGCTCCAGGGACCAACACCAGGACATGACCTTTAGATACCCCCACTCCCACTGTGAGGTCCTGGGCTGAGTGTGGCTGCCCAGAAGGAACAAATTGAGGCTGGATCCACCCCTAGGATAGCCTGGGCTTCAAATCCCCACTCTGTCCCCTGCTAGCTACTCCCCTCCATCCATGTGTCTCAGCTGAGCCTCAGTTTCCTCCTTTGTAGAACAGGGATAATGTCTTCCAGGGGATTATTGTGACATAAATAACATGAAATGCAGAGGCAAAGGAAGTGGCTCAAGCTGCCACACAGTAATATCTCAACAAGAACACTTTTATCATGATCTGTGGGGGGACAGGGCAGTTTGAGTGAATCTGTGGGCCCTCTCCTGTGTCTGCTCAGGATGGGGCAGATACCTCTCCCTGTCTCCCATACCTGTCTCCTCCCTGTGGGACCCTGCACCCCCCGACCCCTAGCCAGGGAACAAAATGTTGCAAAGGGAACTTGGCTGAGCTTCAGTGTTCCCACCCCTCCTCACACCAGCTTCCAGGCCCCAGGGCTTCTGCTGTGCTCTAAGGCTCAATTCATTCATTCATTCCACTGACCTGTACTAAGTACCTACTGTGTGCCAGGCCCTTGTGCGGGGGGCAGGATGATGGGTGAAAATAGACATAGCTAAGCATGTTTACGTGTCATCTAATCCCTATGTCAATCACATTTAGCTCATTTGTTGTTCCCATTTTGTTGATATGGTAACCGAGGCCCAAGGGGTCACAGGCCTGAAACAGCAGAGCCAGACATACCTGGTGGAGGGTTTCAGGGGCCTCAAACTTCCCCACCTCCCTGTACCCCTGTGTCCTCAGGCAGCAGCCAGGATTCCAGAAAGTTCCCTGGGCACTGGCCCAGTATGCACAGATGGTGTCCCTGCAGGCAGCCAGGAGCCAGACACTAATGAGTCAAGACTGACAAGGGGTCTGATATGTCAGCTGTGGCATGAGCAGTTTGGTGTCCCTTACCCACTGTGAACTGGCTGCCAGGAAGGCCAGATGAATGACTCAGTGACACCTGCCTCCTCTCTGACCCCCTCCAGCACCTCCAGCTGAACACAGACACCATGGCCACCTCAGACAGATGGGGACTGTCAGGGCAGAGGTCCACAAATGGTGAGGCCTACAGCTCAAGGAGGCTCCCTGGGGCCCGATTGGTCACCTGTCTCTCTGGAGTCCTCTGTCTCTCTGGAGCTTCATCAGTGGAGATAGGGGATACAATGCCTGGACGATCACCTGAGATAGGCCCAGACCCATTTTAAACTTCCACAGAGCAGTCCCAAGTGATTGCCATAACCATGCCCACATCACAGATGAACAAACTCTGTGGGCAACTTAGGCTGACTGACGGCTTCACCTTTCTGATCTTGGGAAGCCAGATCCAGAGCCTCCTCCGGGTCATTAGTAACAAAGCCACTCCCCACTCCCTCCTAGGAGTGAGCTGGGATAGCAATGGGGGGGATGGCTTGGGGGGGCATAGGCCCTTCTATGGAGGCAATAGCACCTCCTGCCAGCTGGGCAGCACCTGCCAAGATTCTTTCCTCCCTGGCTGGATGTCTTGAGAAGTTGTTTCTTGGGATCAATGGGGATTGGTTCCAGGAGCCCCCACAGATCCCCAAATCCAGGAATGCTCAAGCCCTAATATGGTGTAGTATTTGCACATAACCTACACACATCCTCCCACATGCTTTAAATCATCTCTAGTTACTTATAATACCTAATACAATGTAAATGTTATGGAAATAGCTGTTACACTGGGTTGTTTAGAGAGTGACAAGAAAGCCTGTACGTGTCCAGTACAGACACAACCATCATAGGCCTGATTACATTTTCTATCCACTGTTGGCTGTGTCCAGGGATGTGGAACCCGTGAATATGGAGGGCCGACTGGATTCTAGAAGCCCATCTCCTCATCTAAAATTTGGGGATAAAAGAGAATAGCGACTGCTGCAGACGGCTGGATGACTAGATAGTAAGTGTAACGCCTGTGGCCTAGTGCCCGCTCTCAGGACAGGCTCAGTGTTGTCAGCAGTCCCTGAGTTTGAGGGTGCAGTGAGCTAAAATGCCACTGTACTCTCCCCAGGGCAGCAGAGTGAGACTCTGTCTCAAAATAAAAGCAAGGGGTCACATCTGTAATATGTATTTATTTATTTGGAGACAAAGTTTTGCTCTCCTGCCTGGGCTAGAATACAGTGGCATCATCATAGCTCACTGCAACCTCCTCCCAGGCACAAGCCATCCTCCTGCCTCAGCCTCCTGAGTAGCTGGAACTACAAGCACACACCACCACGACCAGCTAATTTTTCTTATTTTTTGTAGGGGGTGTTTCACTAAGTTGCCCAGGCTGGTCTCGAACTCCTGGCCTCAAGCAATCCTCCCAAAGTGCTACGATTACAGGCATGAGCCACAGTGCCTGGTTCTCCCAAGTATATTTATATAAACATACATAAATAAGGCCAGTGTAGCAATGTGTCAACTGTTCAATCTAGTGGTGGTGGTGGTGGATATACATGCATTTTCAGAGCTGGGCATGGTGGTGCACACCTGTAATCCCAGGTACTTGGGAGGTTGAGGTGGGAGGATAACTGGAACTCAAGAGTTCAAGACCAGCCTGGGCAACATAATGAGACCTCATCTCAAAAAATATATTACATAGTGGGGTTGGGCGCAGTGGCTCATGCCTGTAATCCCAGAAGCTGAGGCAGGCAGATCATTTGAGACCAGGAGTTTGAGACCTGCCTGGGAAAGATAGCAAGACCTCATCTCTACAAACAATTTTTAAAAAAATCAGCTGGGTGTGGTGGCACATGCCTGGTCCCAGCTACTCAAGAGGCTGAGGCAGGAGGATTTGCATGAGGCCAGGAGTTAAAGGCTACAGCGAGCTATGACTGGGTCACTGCATTCCAGCCTGGGAGACAGAGCAAGACCCTGTCTCTAAAACAAACAAATAAATAAATAAATAATTTTTAAAAATACGGGTATATTCGTACACTACTCTTTCAATTTTTATTTTGTTGTAGTTAGGGAAAGTTGTGAGTATACCACCCTGCATAGGTACTCACTATCACCACCTCCTTCCCAAACCCCAAGTGACCCCACCAAGATGAAAGACGCTAAGGCATGCTGGGAAATGAATATAAATTAAGTTTATTATTAATACAAAATGTTAGTTTCTCATTGTCAGTGATTCAAGAAAACAAGACCATAAGCTAGGATACCGGTGTGCAAGCTGGAGGCCAAAAGCCAGACTCAGGAGCGGGCTGACAGGCACTGATTCACAACCTCCAGGAGGTGGGTGTTCTCCAGGGCAGCTGCCACCCGCTCCTTATCTGCAAGCTGCTTGTTCACTGGGTGGGAAGGAGAGAGTGGGAAAGGCAGGCTCAAAGCCAGGCTTTGGCCAGGATGTTAGCCAGCCTCACCTCCAAGCCTTTGTGTAAGCTATGTCCCCACCAACAAGGCCCTGCTGTCACCTCCTTCCCAGGACCCCAAGCTTTGATCAGGCTACCCCAACCACCTAAGCCCAAACCTATCCTGCTTTCTTGGGACCCCTCTCTCCCTGGCTGCTCATGTCAGCCTCCTGTACTGCTGAAGCCTAACACACTCTGATCCTGTGTACTTAGTTGGTGAGGGTGGGGGTGGGGGATGGGAAGGGAGGACATGGGAAGCACAAGAGACTCAAGTCAAGCCAGCTTTGGTCTAAGCTACCACCTTCACTGAGGAAGCTATGGCAATTTAACTCACCCCATCCCTCATCCCCAGACTTGCCCCACAAACCCAGTGTGGCAAGGGGAAAACTTTAGACAGCTTCCGGCCCCAGGCCAACACCCTCACCCTCAGCCCACACTTACCTGCATGCTCTGAGGCATGGGTCCCCGGCGTGATGTGCACGTCCATCTGGGAGGGAGATAACCAGAGCATGAACACCAACCCACCTGCCCACTCTTTTGCCCCACCCCCCAGACCCTCAGGCACCTCCTCCAGCTGATCTTTTCTCCTAATTATGCCTTTGGACTCTGGCCCCTCCATTACACCCCAAACCCACCCACAGTAATTCCAACTCTACCCAGACAACTGGCCAATTAACGCTGATGTAAAGGCCTGCCTGTGCCCCATCCCTGGTCCAAACCCATCTAAAGCTCCCTACTGCACTTCCAGCCATGCTCCTCACTACTTTCCTGCATTTTCCATTTCTGATCTTTATTCTTCTTGCCACATCGACTTGGAACGCTTTCTCCCAGTTTCACCTCTGCTACTTCCAGGCCGCACTCCGACATCCTCTCCATGTTCATGTTCTCCCTGTCCCCCTCCTCAGGAGCAGACTTTCACACTTGTCCCACCCCGGGGCTCAGCTCCAACTGACCTTGAAACGCTGGGGAAGGGAACGAAGAAGTTTGACCTTGATGGACAGGCCAATAAGGGTGGCCATGCTGCAGTGCGGAATGGTGGGCGTGAAGGCCACAGCCACTGTGCTCTCAGGGTCGCTAACCTGGTTGTAGGAGGGAGATGTCAGGGGTCACAGACACTCACAGACCAGAGCCCCTCTTCTTAGTTTGTTCCTTTGGGCCAGTTGTCTAACCTCTATGGGCCTCAGTTTCATCATCCATAAAATGGGCACAACAATCCTCCTCCCCAAAGACACCCCAAGGTGTCCGTGAGCTGAGAAAACGCCCGTTCCTGGTATACAGCTGAACCTTTCTGACTCTCGCTTCCCTTGGACGCTGGGAGTGACTCACCTGAACCCGGACTTGCTCTACTACGTTCAATTCCTCTAGCGTCAGTGGATGCTCCGGGTCATTGATGGAGCGAATAAGATGTGGCAAGTGAAGGAAAAGCCACAATGCGCCTTTGCCCACTCAGGACCCTCCGCCAAGAATGCCCGGCCCAGATACTGCTCCACCGGCTGTTAGACATCGCTTCTCCCCGTACCCCAACGCCCCGCGAACCCGCCCGCGCCCAGCAGCAGCGGATATCGAAAATCTCACGTGCGTCGATGCTGTCGGGAACCTGCTCGTCCTCCTCGCCCGCGGTCACGGGCCGCTCCCCAGAGCGCTCGTAGATGAGGGGGTTGGCGTTCTCCAGGAGGCCGCCCCCTACCCCGCCGCCGCCCACCATCGCGGAACCGCTGCCCACCATAGTCAGCTAGCACTTCCGCTCCCGCAAGCGCACTTCCGGGGGAACGGAAAGGAGGGCGTGGCGTGACGACGGGGTAGCGCGAGGGACACGCAACCCTGTGAGGACTCGTCCTGGGGTTTGAGGGAAGCGGTGACCTCGACGTGCTGGCTAATCTGAACGGGGAAAATGCTGATGGCTTAAGAATAGGCGCAGAGTAGGGACTTGGGCAGCGCTGGGTCCTGCGAGCCTGTAGGAAGCCGGAACGCAGAGGCCAAGGCCGGTTCTCAGGGGGCACTGAAGGCCGCCTGAGGAGATCCGCGCGCCGCTTCCTCCGGGAAGCCAGGTGGGCCTGGCGCTACCGTGCCCAGGCCGGTTGCCTCTAGCCTGGCAGAGTTCACGATGCTTCCGAATCTCCCGGTGACGCTCCTGCCTCTCCTGCTGCACCATAGGCCTGGGAGTGTGGAGACCCAGGGCTCAGACTCGCAGACAGTTGTTAAGGGTTTGTCAGGTGGATAAATGACGATGAAAAACGGACAGCTTGAAAGCTGTGGGGGTGGGGCCCTTAGGAAGTGCCACAGTCACCTGTGCATTTCAAAAGAAGGGCTGTGAGGGCCGGGCGCTGTGGCTCACGCCTGTAATCCTAGCACTCTGGGAGGCCGAGGCGGGCGGATTGCTCAAGGTCAGGAGTTCAAAACCAGCCTGAGCGAGACCCCGTCTCTACCATAAAAATAGAAAGAAATTAATTGGCCAACTAATATATATATAAAATCAGCCGGGCATGGTGGCTTGTGCCTGTAGTCCCAGCTACTCGGGAGGCTGAGGCAGGAGGATAGCTTGAGCCCAGGAGTTTGAGGTTGCTGTGAGCTAGGCTGACGCCACAGCACTCACTCTAGCCTAGGCAAGAAAGCGAGACTCTGTCTCAAAAAAAAAAAAAAAAAAAAAGAAGGGCTGTGGCCAGGCGTGGTGGCTCATGTCTGTAATCACTCTGGGAGGCCGAGGCAGGCGGATCCTTTGAGCTCAGGAGTTTTGAGACCAGCCTGAACAAGAGGGAGACCCTGTCTCTACCAAAAATAGAAAGAAATTAGCTGGACGACTAAAAATATGTAGAAGAAAATTAGCCGGGCATGATGGTGCATGCCATGAGGATCGCTTGAGCACAGGAGTTTGAGGTTGCTGTGAGGTAGGCTGATGCTACAGCACTCTACCCCAGACAACAGAGTGAGACTGTCAAAAAAAAAAAAGGGCAGTGACTGAGTAGGCAGGGTCCCTCGGAGGGAAGGGCACAGTCATACCTCCCTGCCTTTGCTCAAGCCCTTCTCTTCTCCCAGATGGAAAGTCCTTCCCATTTCTCTATCTGTGGAGATGCTGATCTTCACTTGCTAAGAGAAGCCCTCCTCTAGTCACAGCTTATTGTCCCTGTTCTCCATCCCCCAACACACTAGTCGGGTCTGTGACTACAAGGACAGAGAAGGTAGCGATTCCAGGTTTGAGGACAGGGCTCCTGGTGTCGCAAAAGCTGGGGCAGGGGGAAGAGGCCATGCCTGTGCCTGTTTGCCACTGGCTCCCCATGCAACCTGGATGGCACAGTCTCACTCTCGTGCCAGGCTCATCTTTCCTGGCCCAAGCCAGTGCCCCCGCCTACTCCCTGCCCAGTCCAAACTCCAGGCCCGGGCGAGGCACTACTAATCCACGGCTGCACAGACCTGGGCAGCCTCCCTGTGAAACGCACGGTTACCTCTGGCAGCACAAAGAGGACCTGCGAGTGGACTATGCTGCCAGATGGACTGGGCGCCGTTGCCTGTGGCCTCCTGCTTCTCCTTGTGGTGGGCCAGGGTGAGGCTCCTTCGGAGGGAGCACAGGGACCCAGGTCAGACCTGCCTAATTCTGTCAGACCTGAGTCCCTGAGACAGGGAGGGAAGGCGCCTGGAAGGTAGGAGCTGGTGGAGAGGAGAGAGTGGAACCTAGGGCCCCACCCAATACCTCCCCACTGCCCAAGGTGGGCCCCCTGAGAAGCAGTGAGGGTTGAGGCTGCCCTACACAACAATGAGGGGCTCTGAGGAGTGCCGTGACTGGGCAGCAGGGCCAACAGCCTGGGGATGAGGGGAATTCAGTAGATTTCCCTCTTGTGTTTGTGGCTAGAGCTGGTGCTGCGCATGGGTAATAGCGCCAACAGTAATACTTGCCGGCTACGGTTTGGCTTTGAGTGTGTCGCATCCTTGGCCAGGGATTTGTCCTGACCCCCTCAGGGGAAGCCCACGGGTACCTCATCCTAAAGCCAATCTAAGAGGCTGCAATGTCCCTCTCACCCCATGCACACTGCCCTGGTGCAGGCACAACATGGCCTCCAGGGCAAAAGTGATGGCACTTTGTGCCTGCCAGGCTTTTCCAGAAGAGCAGGTCTTTGGCCCTTGATCCTTTCACCCAAACATATCCTAAGTGTGGGATCTGATTCTCCCTCTCCTTTCCCAATCTAATCTGCCCAGAGGGAGTCCACACTCACTCCTCCCCCATGGCCCAACCCCATAGGACTTCCTCTCTTATCTGCCAGGTTCTAGAGGTTACTAGAACCTTCCAGGCAGGAAGACATGCCCAGCCGCACAGATGACTCCCTTTTAAAATATTATCTTGGGCCGGGCGCGGTGGCTCACGCTTGTAATCCTAGCACTCTGGGAGGCCGAGGCGGGCGGATTGCTCAAGGTCAGGAGTTCAAAACCAGCCTGAGCGAGACCCCGTCTCTACTATAAAAAATAGAAAGAAATTAATTGGCCAACTAATATATATATATAAATTAGCCGGGCATGGTGGCTCGTGCCTGTAGTCCCAGCAACTCGGGAGGCTGAGGCAGTAGGATTGCTTAAGCCCAGGAGTTTGAGGTTGCTGTGAGCTAGGCTGATGCCACGGCACTCACTCTAACCTAGGCAAGAAAGCGAGACTCTGTCTCAAAAAAAAAAAAAAAAAATATTATCTTGGCTTGGACCATGTTCAGAAAGAATGATTGACAAGCCATAAGAGGGAATGGAAGGTGGGTCCCACCCCCTCTGTCCCACCAGTCTTGGCTCCTCCACAGGGGTTATCAGGGTCCCCAGGGCCTTCTATAGTGCCAAGCAGTTTACCCAGGAGTGGATGTATGCACTTGAGCTTGCTTTTCACCTCTCTACAAGCCCCACGTACCCTCATATCCATAAGTGGCCAATAGAAAACCTGGACACCAGAAGCCCTAATGTCTTGGTCCATTCAAGCTGCTGTAACAGAAATACCATACACTGGGTGCCTTATAAGTGACAAATTTGTTGCTCACATTTCTTGAAGCTGGCAAGTCCAGGATCAAGGTGCCAGCAGATCTGGTGGTCTGGCAAGGGCTTGTTCTCCAGTTCATAGATGGCACCTTCTCACTGTGTCCTCCCGTGGTGGAAGGGGCGAACAAGCTCCTCAGGCCTCTTTTATAAGGGCACTGATCCCCCTCAGCGCTTAACGGTCCCATCTCTTAAACCATCACATTGGGGATGAGGTTTCAGCCTGTGAATTTTGAGGGGACACATGTTCAGACCATAGCACCTAGAGCTCCTGGATCTCAGCCACTGAGGTTACCAACCACTGGAAATGTAAAACTTCCTATCCCTACTTATTGTCCCCCTAGACTAAATGTCATCTATCATTGACATTTGAAACAACCCACCCACTCCCCTAATTGTGTCTCTAAGAGGTGACTGATTCAATTTTTGTGAGAAGCAGGACTGGGCTTGTCCATGCCCCTGTGCCCCTTCTGGCCTACTTGTCCTCTCAGGGTACCAGTTTTCTCAGGGTGAGATTCCTCCTTTCCATCCGCGGCATTTAATCCCAACTACAGGGCCTCACGAAGCCTAGGGTGAAAAATAAGGAGTCCTGCGTTGCCCACTCTGGCCACCAGGTGGCAGAGAAGGATAATGTTAAGCCTAGGCTGCCATGAATTCGGTAAATGGAAGAGGTTTTCCTTTTAGGTGACCACTGACTGGCATATAATGCTTCCACTACATCATGAAAGCATTTATTGAGCACTTCCTGCATGCATGACATGCCTCTGTTTTGTACTTCTGCAGATGCACAGTATATTTTTCCAAAGTGTGTGCCCAGGACTATTTTTTTAGGCTTCTAATAGTCGTTTTTTAACAGCTTTTCTATGGAATGATTTACATTGCAATTAAATGCCCCCGTTTTAGGTGTACAGTTTGATAACTTTGAGTAAGGGTATAAGACATACATCCCCCACCACATCAAGTCTGAGAATGTTTCTATCATCCCAGAAAGTTCCCTCGTGCTTCTTTGCAATCAGTCCTTGTCCTGATCCTGATCCCAAGCAACCACCAAATTGCCTTCTGTTGCTGTAGTTTGCCTTTTCGGGGATATCCTATATATCATAGGTCCCCAACCTTTTTTGGGGGACAGTTTCATGGAAGACAATTTTTCCACGGACCCCAGGGGTTGAAGGTAGGGGGTGGGTAAGGGGTGATGCAAGCAATGGGGAATGGCTATAGAGATGAAGCTCTACAGCTTCATCTTTTTTCTATTTATTTTTTTAGTTGCCCAGCTAATTTCTTTCTATTTTTGGTAGAGATGGGGTCTCACTCTTGCTCAGGCTGGTTTCAAAGTCCTGACTTTGAGCGTTCCTCCCACCTTGGCCTCCCAGAGTGCTAGGATTACAGGCGTGAGCCACCGCACCTAGCCACGACTATATTATTTTTGCATCCTCTCTGGCCATCTGTGAGGGTTGCACTTGCTCCATGTCCTCACCAACACTTGGCCTTGGCCTTAAATCTGATTGTATTTAATGGGTGTGTAGAGGTATTTCCTTGCAGTTGGTTCCCTGGACGTTTAGTCTCTGCTTCCATCTTTCTCTCACTCTCTGTTTATCTGTCTGTCTCTCTCTCTCTCTCTCTCTCTATATATATATATATATGTATTTTTATTTATTTATCTATCTATTTATTTATTTATTTATTTTTGAGACAGAGTCTCGCTTTCTTGCCTAGGCTAGAGTGAGTGCTGTGGCGTCAGCCTAGCTCACAGCAACCTCAAACTCCTGGGCTCAAGCGATCCTCCTGCCTCAGCCTCCCGAGTAGCTGGGACTACAGGCACGAGCCACCATGCCCGGCTAATTTTATATATATATATTAGTTGGCCAATTAATTTCTTTCTATTTTTATGGTAGAGACGGGGTCTCACTCAGGCTGGTTTTGAACTCCTAACCTTGAGCAATCTGCCTGCCTCGGCCTCCCAGAGTGCTAGGATTACAGGCGTGAGCCACCGCGCCCAGCCATATATTTTTAAAAATCAACTTCAGTTCCCTTAAATGTTCCCACAGGCTCCTGGCAGGCCAGACTGGACACCAGCTCCCACTCCAGGCCTGTTGGCCCACTCGGAGTGGCACCCCAGGCTCAGTGACCACCATTCCCTCAGGTCGGTGACATAGGCATCTTGTGATGAGCACACAAGGTCTCATTGAGGTCGTCAAGTCAGTAAAGCTGGGATTTGAACACAGGGGGACCCTGTCATATCATTCCTGCCTCTGCAAGGCACTCACCCCGCTCTGCCCCTGTGAGGCCCCGGGTGCTGTGGGGCCTGGCCACCAGCCAGGTGGGGCGGTCCACAGAGGCTTTTCCAACGCCGCCCTTCAGAGACTGGTAGTACCAAAGGTCAAGGGACTCATTCCACCGTCTGCAGCTTCTGCCTAGTCACTTGTAAGGAGCATGGGGACAGCGGTGAGAGTGGAGTTTCGGGTCCTGGTCTGGGTGGCCTGTCTGCTCCTGGTGTTCCCTGCCACAGCCACTGGTAACACACACCTGCTGGGCCTGCAGGGGCAGGAGGTTGTGGGGCTTCAGGAGGCCTCTGCATGGAGGGGGCAAGAGTGACACAGGGACAGGGAGGAGTGCCAGCCTGCTCAGGAAAGGGGTCCAGTTTGGAGGAAACGGGTTGTGCATCGTTTCTGGGCAGGGGCCTTTCTCTTGCTATCCTGTGTGATCCCCAGAGCAGCCCTGCCAGGGGACATGACTGTCGTTATGTTTTAAGTGACTGGAGATTTGTTTTAATCAGGTATGGTAGGGCAAGCAGATTGCAAATGACTGATGAAGGAAGAAGCTTCCTCACAGTTCTCTAAGAACAAGAGGCACCAGGCCCTGAAGGGCCACACTGGGAAGCACTGGGTGTGTCAGGAAGAAGAGGGAGGAGGGGAGAACGTGAGCAGGAGCCTTTACTGCTGTTTCCACGGGAAGGAAGAGGCAAAGTAGGCCTAGCAGGCTTAGGATTGGCAACGGGCGCTGGGGTACAGGGGCTGCTCCTAGTTGCCTGGTACCTGGCCCTGGGGTGACAAGGGCTGATGGATAGTGGCCAGGAGTTTGAGAGCCCCACAGAGGAAGTGGTTGGGGGTATGGCAGTGGGTTGGTTTGCATTTGAAAGACTTGCTCCCCAGAGAGTTGAGTTCCCTCTCTAGAAATTGACCAGTCCTAAATTGACCAGCCCTGGGAGGGGCAATGCCCGTCTTAGTCTATTTGTGTTGCCATAGAGGAATAACTGAGCCTGGTTTAATTGGTTCAGGGTTCTGCAGGCTGCACAAGAAACATGGCACCAGCATCTGCTTCCAGTGAGGGCCTCAGGCTGCTTCCGCTCATGGCGAAGGGGAAGGGCAGCCGGTGTGTGCATGGGGAGAGAGGAGGAGGTGCCAGGGAACTAAGAGTGAGAACTCACTCCCAGGAGAAAGGCACCAAGCCACCTGCCCCCATGACCCAAACCCCTCCAACACTGGAGATCAGGTTTCAACATGAGGCTTGGAGGTGCCAAACCAACCATATCCAAAGCAGACCCCTCCCCTCTGAGGTCAGCAAGGCCCCAGGCAGCAATGGTTCAGAATACAGGAAATAAGGAAGTGGTTAGTCTACCTAATTTGGCAGAGGAGTAACCTGAGGTGCAAATGAGAAAGTGGCTGGCCCAAGGCTCAAGGCTCCAGGGCAGGTCTGGTCTGGCCTGGGGAGAGTGTGGTGATGCCCAGACAGGCCGTGGAGAAGAGGTGGTCAGGGAACCTCAGGGCCCAGCTTGCTGGGAAGGTTACCTACGGTGCTATGTGCAAAGTCCTCCGAACAGAGCCTGGCAGAACAGCACTCAGAGGGCAAATGTGTCCCTCACTCTGAGTGTCCTTCTGTCACCCCATCCGCACACAGAGGCTGCAGCCTCACCTGCGGCCCCTCTGTCCTGCCCTCAGGGCCCGAACTCTCTCAGCCTGAAGTACACACCACCCTGGGCCGCGTGCGAGGCCGGCAGGTGGGCGTGAAGGGCACAGACAGCCTTGTGAGTGTCTTCCTGGGCGTCCCATTTGCCCGGGCACCCCTGGGGCCTGACCGGTTTTCAGCCCCGCGCCCAGCACAGCCCTGGGAGGGTGTGAGGGATGCCAGCACCGAGCCGCCCATGTGAGTAGCGCTGGTGGAGGTGGGCAAGCAGGCAGGTGGGCAGGGGTCCACTGCGGGGGCTTGTGGGGCTGACCAGCTGGTCCGTGGGCCCGTCCTTGGTACAGGTGCCTGCAAGATGTGGACAGAATGGACAACAGCAGATGGATGCTCAACGGAAAGCATCGGCTCTTCCCTATTTCAGAGGACTGTCTGGTCCTCAACATCTACAGCCCAGCTGGGGCCATGGCAGGGGACAAGAGGCCGGTGGGCAGCCCAGAGGGCCCTTCCCCATCCCTGTTCCCAAACCATCCCAGAGGTCCCCAGAATGCCCTGGGCTGGTAGGTGGGCACGTGGGCTCCCAGGAGCTGGGGGTCACTGCCCCAGAGTCCTCTCTCCAGGTCATGGTATGGATCCACGGAGGCTCTCTGAGCGTTGGTGCCGCCACCTCTTATGATGGATCGGCCCTGGCAGCCTATGGGGATGTGGTCGTGGTCACAGTCCAGTACCGCCTGGGGCTGTTGGGCTTCTTCAGGTGAGTCGCAGGCCTGATGAGAGCACCGACTGCATTGAGAGGCCGCTCATGAGAGGATCCGGACACCCAAGCTGGGGGGCCAGAGGCTGCATGGAGATGGAGTGTCCCCACACTGCTCTCTGGGGTAGAAAAGGTGCTCCCCGAACCTCCACCCTGGGGAAGCGCTGGGGTTGAAGGAAAAGAGTTTTCTGCTCTCACAGCCACCTGGGAGCCAACCCTGGCTGCCCCCACCCGGCCTGCCCACATCACTTGCTAGGTGGATGCCAAGCGTAGCTTGCAGCCAGGCCTGACTTTGGGATCAGAGGAAGGCTGAGCGCCCTGGTGGCTGATTTGAAGCAAAGCTGCGAACACTGAGGAACATTTGTCATGGGAGCCAGCTTGCACTAACCACTGCCTCACCTGCCTCCCAGCACCGGGGACGAGCATGCACCTGGCAACCAAGGCTTCCTAGATGTGGTGGCTGCTCTGCGCTGGCTACAGGGGAACATCAGCCCCTTTGGGGGTGACCCCAACTGTGTCACCGTCTTTGGCGAATCTGCTGGTGGCACCATCGTCTCTGCTCTGGTAAAAGTCACCATAAGGGGCTAGCAGTGATGGCCGGGAGGGCTCCTGTGGCCCCAGACCTCCCAGCTCCCCTGCCCTCCTCTGACAGCCATCTGCTCTCTCCACCACATCCAGGTCCTGGCCCCAATGGCTGCGGGGCTGTTCCACAGAGTCATCTCACAGAGCGGGGTCATCACCATCCCTAATACAATGGATCCTGAACCAAGGCACCTAGCTCGGGTCTGCATTTCCTTCACCTCTTACTCCATGTGTACCTGCCCTCCCTCACCCTGTGCTGGCCCTGGCGTCTCAGAGCAGGAGTGCTGCTAGGGCGCCCCCTGCAGGCAGAGAGCTCCCCGCTGCAAAGGATGAAGGCAGCTGAGAGGAAACAGCCGCTGCATTCCAGAGGGTGGGCGGTCAGGGATGGCTTCCTGAAGACCACCCCCCGTGAACACCACCCTTGGTCCCTTCCCCGGGGTGGGGTCTTCAGGAGCACCCCTTCTGCTCCAGGCGGCACGGTGCAGGGGGCCCTCCACTCCCGCCACCCTGCTGCCTGAGACATCTCAACTGAGTCCCTGGAGCCCCCCTAGAGCCCCATTGTAACAAGGCCTTGTGGAAAGTCACCTGTGGAAGCCACAGAATGGGAGCTGCATCTGCAAAGGCTGCAGGTGTGAGACACAGTGACAGGATCTAGAAGCAGCAAGCTGTCAGGTAGGGACCTCAGCAGGCTGGGGCGGAGCAGGAAGTGAAGGTGCTGGAGAGGCAGGGGCATCGCCTGGGAATCTGCACCTTCTCCAGGTGCAGGAGGAAGCGGGGCAGAGACAGGCTGGGCTCCTTGGGGTGGAAGGTGGGCTGGAGGGAGCCATCCTGGAGGTTGAGGCCACGGGCATGGCCAAGGCAGAGTCCAGGGAGAGAGGACAGTGACAAGCAGGGGCAGCGCTGGCGGGGGGAGACAGGTGGGCGCGGGCGGGACTGGGGAGGCTGTGTCAGTGCCCCCATTTGGCCGCAGAGCGCTGCCAAGGTGGAGGAATGGGCTGGGCGCCTTCAGCACAGGGCTGGAGATGGTTCAGGAACCTTGGCCTGGGCACACTGCCGCTTATCTGGACAACAACCATCCCTGACCCATCCGCCAACTGTGGCCGGGAGAGATTTTCTGGATCACAAACTTTAGGTCCTTCCCCATCTCTCCTGTTCTATGAAAAACACAGCCCAGCCATTCCTCCTTAAACACATATTCACGGGGCTCCTACTGCTGGCCACCAGCCTGTAGCCTCACCTCCCTCCTTCTCCCTGCCCCGCTCCAGCCTCCTCACCCCACCCTTCCCTGCCAAACTGGGGCCCTGCCAGAAGCCCTCCCTCTCCAAACTCCCCCCATTTTCTTATTTTACTCAGCAAACTCTGCTAACCTGTGGCTTTGGGAACATAGTCAATTAGACGAGGATGCTAATGTCAAAAGGGGAAAATGCTGATCTAGCACCTCTTGTATTATCCTGGATGGAGCTGGAGTCCATTCTACTAAGTGAAGTATCCCAAGAATGGAAAAACAAGCACCACATGTACTCACCATCAAATTGGTATTAACTGATCGACACTTAAGTGCACATATAGTAGTAACATTCATCAGGTGTCGGGCAGGTGGGAGGAGAAGGAGGGGATGGGGATATTCGCACCTATTGGGTGCGGTGCGCACCATCTGGGGGATGGACACGTGTGTAGCTCTGACTCGGGGAGGGGAGCAAAGGCAATATATGTAGCCTAAATATTTGTACCCCGTAATATTCTGAAATAATAATAAAAAAAGGGCAAAGGGTACACGGCCCCTCATCCCCAGATAATGACATTATAGTGTAACAGAGGACACACAGGGTCTCCGGGACCACCCAAGCTGGTGGGCAGAGCAGGCTTTTCAGGGGTTGTGGCAAGTCTCTGGCCAGTCTCGGGCCTGATCTGCAACATCACTCCCAGCTGTGCTGCAGATGCTCCCCCTCCCTATGGGAGGCAGAGGGCTTCAAGGTGGAGGTCAGTGGCTGAGAGGGAGGCATGACACTTTCGTCTGTCCCCAGCACATCACGGACTCCCTCGCCTGCAGCTCCCACTCCTCAGCTGAGATACTGCGGTGCCTTCGGCAGAAGGAAGGAGACAAACTTATCCTTTACGAGGTAGTATGCCCACCTCCTTGGCGAAGGTGCCAGGCAATGGCACAGAGGGGGTTCTGGGCCCAGGGCCCAAATAGGCCTGGGGACAAGAATGGAGGCCAGCCCCAGCCCCGAGGGCAGGCCCTGTCTTTTGGGAAGAGATCTGCTTGGAAGTGTCAGTTGCCCGGTCTCCTGATTCCCACTGGGCCCCTCACCCTGGTAATCTCCACCCCTCTCCCCACTGTCCCTCAAAGCTCAGCCACTCAGGCACACAGCTAGGTGACCCCTAGGTCCCATTCTTTGCGGCTGGGTCTTTACTTGAGAGCCTCCGGCCTTGCTTTCTCCTGCAGAAAATGGGTCTCACTGCTTTCACGGTTGATGGCACCTTCCTTCCCAAAAGCCCCAAGGAGATCCTCAATGAGAAGCGAGTCCACTCCGTGCCTGTCCTCCTGGGTCTCAACAACCACGAGGTTAGCTGGCTCATCCCCAAGGTGAGTGTCCTCCAGCACCTGTGCCCTTCAAGGCCCTGCCACAGCTGGTCTTCTTTCACCCCAACATCATCATCTCAGCCCTGTGAGCTGAGTGTTCCTGTGATTCCTATTTGGCAGGTGAGATAGCTACCAAAGGTGAAAGGCTGAAAGGACTTGCTAAGGTCAGCCAGCTACATTTTCAGAAAGCCACCTTTCCATCTGGGGACCAAGCTTTTGCACCAAGTGGCTGATCCACAGCATATTCCTGCCTTGGTGTCTGGTTTATACACGAGGCTCTGTGAGACTGGTTGATGTGACTCTGTCCCTGAGAGACTGACTACCTAAGACTCTCAGGTCTCAGACATCAAGCCACTGGTGACCCCATGGGCCAAGTACCCTCCAGTCCCTTCTGGGTGCACAGAACGCCCATAAGAGTGTCAGCATCATGCTTCCACGGTGAGCATCTTCTTATTTCATTCTCACTCTTCTACCCATCTTCATAGCAATTGCTTTAAATGGCTGCAATACCTTCCACAAAGGGAGGGTTCCTTTATTTTGGCATTTGGGCAGCTTCTCATTTTTACCACTGAAGCCATTAGTGCACTGAACATCTTCCTGTCCACAGCTTTTGTCCTCTGACTTATTCCTTTGGAACTGATCCCCAGGAGGGCCACCCGCTTGCTATGTGAGAGGCTCATGCAATCTTGACACTCAAGGACAGGTTTGTGGACCAATGCCCAGACTCCGGCAGGCAGCCTTGCCCCACACTGTCAACTTATAGTTGTAAGTGTCAAAACAAGGGAGAACCAACCTGGCTGGCTCCTAAGACCTGGAGGAACCCACCTCGAGTGAAATGCTGTGCTGGGACTTGGCGCCAAGGTTGTTTCTTAGGAATTGGCTCAGAGGGCTGCTCACCTTGTCACTGGTGCAGGTGTTCCAGCCCCCAGAGCAAGCGCATTTGCTAAATATTCAAGGCGTGCCTGTAATCCGGCTGAAGTGGGAGGATCCCTTGAGGCCAGGAGTTTGCCACTGCACTCTGGCCTGGGCAACAGAGTGAGACCTTGTCTCTAAAAAACAAAACAAGGCAAAACAAAACAAAACAAAAAAGTTCTTGGTGAAAGTTTTAGCCATGGCTGCAAAATAATTCCTACCCCTCCTTCTGGAAACCTCTCCACTTCTTACATATTGCTGTCAACACAGCACTTTCTGACATTGCTATGCCAATATTTAAATTGCCACCAGCAACTTGAGTCTACAGTTTTATTGCAACCTTATCAGCATTTGCTGACCATAATTTTTAAAAACATCAGCTTTACTGAGATATAATTTACATACCATAAAATTCACCCTTGTCGGCTGGGCGCAGTGGCTCATGCCTGTAATCCTAGCACTCTGGGAGGCCGAGGCGGGCGGATTGCTTGAGGTCAGGAGTTCGAAACCAGCCTGAGCAAGATCGAGACCCCGTCTCTACTATAAATAGAAAGAAATTAATTGGCCAACTAATATATATATATAGAAAACATTAGCCGGGCATGGTGGTGCATGCCTATAGTCCCAGCTGCTGGGGAGGCTGAGACAGGATTGGATTGCTTGAGCCCAAGAGTTTGAGGTTGCTGTGAGCTGGGTTGACACCATGGCACTCACTCTAGCCTGGGCAACAAAGCGAGACTCTGTCTCAAAAAAAAAAAAAAAATTCACCCTTGTCAAGTTTACAGCTCCAGGATTCTGTTTATTTACAAAATTGTACAACCATCACCACTATCTTATTGCAGAACATTTGCATCACCCTAAAAAGGAGGCTCATACCTAGTCTCCCTCCCTCAGACCCTGGCAACTGCTAATCTATTTTCCATCAACTTTATGGATTTTCCCATTCTGCACAATTCATAGAAATGGATCATATGCATGTGACTTTTTGTGTCTGACTTTTTTCACTGAACATGGTATTTTCACGGTTCATCTGTGTTGTAGCAAGTATCAGTACTTCACCTCTCTTGGTGGCTGAATATGCTGTCACGTTTTGCATATCCACTCAATAGCTCGTAGACATTTTGGTGTTTTCACTTTTTTTGCTATTAATGGATGATCCTGATTGAATATTTACTTGCAAGCTGTTTTGAAAACGTGTGTTTTCATCTCTATTGCTTACAGACCTGGAAGGGCAATTGCAGGGTCATGTGCTAACGCTATGTTTAATTTGAGGAACTGCTGACTGCTTTCCAAATGGGCCGCACCATTTTGCGTTCCTACCAGCGAGTGTGTGAGGTTCCAATTTCTCCACATCCTGCCCAGCCCTTCTTATTCTTTCTTGTTTTGATTCTCGCCATGTAAGTGGTTGGGAAGTGGTATCTTGTTTTGATTTGCATTTCTTTAATGGCTAAAGATGTTGATTATCTTTTCATGGCTTACTGGCCATATTTTATCTTCTTTGGAGAAATGTCTATTCAAATCCTTGGTCATTTTTATATTTGATTATTTGTCTTTTTCTTGTTGAGTTGTAAGGGTTCTTTATTTATTCTGGATACCAGTCCCTTATCAGTTATCTGATTTGCAAATATTTGTTCCATTCTGTGGTTGGCTTTTCTTTTCTTTTTTTTTTTTTTTAGAAGAGACCTTTGCTTTGCTGCTCAGGTATTGCCCAGGCAGGATTCAATTTGAAGGTTATCTCAATTTGGGTCTGTGGACTTGGGAATTTGGCCACACTTGCTCTGTAACGAGTTTAGAGGCACAGGGCTGCGAACACTCTCCTGCCCAGGGTAGTGGTCCAGCTGCAGTAAGAGGGCCTCGGTGTCCCCACAGGCCTTTGGTTTCCTGGATAGGATGGAGCAGATGAGCCTGGAGGACATGATGAACATCTTGAGGCCCTTCTTGATTGGTCTGGTAAGACAAGAGACAGGAGGGAGGCAGCCAGTGAACATCCCACCCAGCACAGACTCTGCTCCCACTCCTGACACCCACGCTGCCCACCTTCCACCAGGCCCCTTGGTCCAACTGGTGAACTATAATTCCACCCACGACTCCCTTGGACATGAGTCAGTGCGGTTCTCAAGGGAAATTTTTCATCATCATCACCATCATTGTCACAGCACAGAGTGCCTGCTAACGAGCACATACTCTGTGCCATGGACTATACTGTGCTAAGCACTAGGGAAGACATTCATGTCTTTCCATCCTCATTGCAACTCTGTGAGGTAGGGAATTTCATGAGCCCTATGTTACAGATGAGGAAACTGAGGGTCAAAGTCTCACAGCGGGTAAGGGGCAGAGGCAGAGTCTGAGCCAGCTCTGTCTGATCCCATAGCCTCACCCGTCAGATGTGGAGCCAGCTGGACCTGGCATCAAATCCCAGCCTTGCCCACTTGCCCGGGTACCCTAACCCCTCTGAGCCCATTTCTTCACCAAGAAATGGGGGTGATACTTCCTATGCACCCAAGCTGTTGTGAGAAGGGGACTGGGTGGTGCATTTGAAGAGTCTACCGGGGAGCTGGTACCCAGTAGGTGCTCAATGTGTGTGTCTTTCCCTTCTTTGGAAGCCCCAGAGGCCTCTGCATTCACACAACCTCATCACTGCTCTCTGCAGCTGTGGGGGAGCCCCCATCATTGGTTTTCTCACTTGCTTCCCAGTTCACTCCCACTGAACACCTGCTTCCAGGCCAGACCCTTTGCTGGAGGCATCACATGTGCTGCCACACACACTGCCAGGCAAGGACTGACTTGCAGAGAGGTGTAGCCAACTGTCTGAGGTCATGCAGCCAGGCAGTGGTCTCAGAGCTAGGATTTGACTCCAAACCTGAGCTTATCACACTCAGACACCATCTAGAACTCCCAGGAAGACAGGAAGGCAGCTGGCTGCCTGGGGCCTGAGAGAAGCCATGCGGGAGGGTGCGCACCTTCTTAGGAGGGTCTGCCACAGCCGTGGGGCCTGAGTAGGCCTGAGCCTGTCCTCCTGCCCCAGGATATACCCTTTGAGATGACGGCCACCATCGCAGATGAATATGTAGACAGCAACTCAGACGCACAAGCCCAACGCCATGCCTTCTTAGAGTTGATGAGCGACGCAGTGTTTACCTTCCCTATCTTAAATTTCTCAAGAAGCCTCCGAGGTAAGCCTATCCCTGGCCACTTTCCCACTTCACCCCAGGAGCTGGGTTGTCACAGGTGACATGGCTGTGATAGGGTCAGCTTCCCCTGATTTCTTGTACCCCACACCCTGCTGCCTCCCTCAACCCTGCCTTCTCTGGGATACAACATCACAGCAATGAGAAGTGTCTCTGGCAGGGCACTTTGCCCAGAAGAAAAGTGAGTCTCAGAGAGGTACAGTGACTTGCTAAAAGTCACGCAGCAGAGCCCATCACCAATCCTCAGGAATTCATTTAATCGACCCGTGATTTCCTCCTCTTTCAGCGTTCCTCCCAGGACAAGTATTGCTTCTTCCAAGCCTGGTGGCTAATTCCTGACATGGCCCTAGAATAGCTCCAATTTCTAAACTTTGTGAACACGGGCAAAATACCTAACCTCCTGTGCCTCAGTTTCCTCATTTGTGAAATGGAGATAATAACAGAATCTAATCCATGAGGTTATGAGGATGAGATAAATGATGACACAAGGCACACAGAACAGTGCTTGACACGTAGCGAGTGCTCAGAAAATACATTCTGCTAATCATTTTGTCATCATCATCATCATTGGTATTGGTGTCATGAGCTTGTGCTGCCAAAGGCAGGACCTAATCGGGCTGTGGGTGCCTAATTCTGATCCTGCCCTCTCTCTGCAGATTTGGGGAACCCCATCTTTTTCTATGAGTTCCAGCATCGACCCAGTTCTTTTGTGAAGATCAGACCAGACTGGGTGAAGGCCGACCATGGGGCTGAGGTTGCTTTCATATTTGGGGGGCCCTTCCTCATGGATGAGAGTTCCCTCCTTGGTGAGGACAGACACACAGACAGACAGACATGCAATCCCTCGGTTGCCAGACTCCAAGGGGCCAGGGCAGGGCTTGCAGGAGAAGTCTGGCCAGCACTAGGGATCCTGGGTCCCCTCCAGGCCCCACGTGACCGACCCTGATTCTGGTCTGTTCCTTTCACCAGCCTTTCCAGAGGCCACAGAGGACGAGAAGCAGCTGAGCCTCACCATGATGGCCCAGTGGACCCACTTTGCCCGTACAGGGTGAGTGAGCGAGCAGGCTTGCCTGGCTTTGGGCCTGGGACGCTCAGATCTGCTCCTTGGGGACAGCATAGGAGACCTTGGTCCTCGTTCGTTCCTCCCACCCAGGGACCCCAATGGCAAGGGGCTGCCTCCTTGGCCCCAATTCGACCAGTCAGAACAATACCTGGAGATCGACCGGGTGCCACGGGCCAGGCAGAAGCTAAGGGAGGCCCGAATGAGGTTCTGGACAGAGACACTCCCCAGCAAGATCCAGCAGTGGTACGAGAAGCAGAAGAGGGGGAAGGCCCCGGAGGAGCTCTGAGCCACGGCCTGGGCCTTCTTGCTGGGGCCAACCCAAAGGGTGGCAAAGTCCCAGCAGGGGAACCTCCCTCCCCCTCCCTCCAGCCCTCACTGAGAGAGACTTTAACCTAAACCAGGCCCACATGGTTCGTGTCCTTGAAAGCACCAACCACTGCATGACTGGTGGTTTGCTATTGTGAAATATCACCATGCTGCTTTCTGTCTCTGGGCCATTGTACGAGCTCTTCCCTTTCCCTGAAGTACCTTTCCTACTTGCTTCTTGGCAAATTCCAGTTCATTCTTCATGCTCCCCAGAGGACTCCCTCCCCGAGGAAGCCGTCCCTGCCTTCTCTGGTCTGTGTGGCCCTGAGTCTGTGCCCATGAGAGCACAGTCCACCCTAGGCCAGCACTGGGTCTGTGTCTCTCTCACCCTCAGAGGAGTTCTCTGAGAGTGGGGACCAGCCTGGTCCCACTCTGTCATCCACACCAGAATCAGGCAGGCCCTGGAGTCAGGGGACGTTTGGTGAGTGCATGAAACACACAGTATGTGAATGGTGGTGCTGGACTTGAACCCAGAGTTGTCAGGCGCCAAAGCCAAGCTCAGTCTCCCACAGACATAGTCTGTCCTGGCCAGAAGGGTGGACTCCAAAGGCAGGGACCTGGAGTGGGAGAAGTTCTGGGGTACCAAGGGATCCAGCCAAGACCAGATATTAGCCCCTGACTAGGGCCTCAGACTAGAACTGGGAGAGGTACCCTGCTGTCTAGTCCTGGCCCCTGCACAAGACAGCAGAATCCAGCAGGGCCACATTCACTGAACATGGCCTTCACCATTTACAGCCCTGACCCTTAGGACCTGGGACACGAGCTGAGAAATCTCTGATCTAAGATCTAAAGGGAGTGGTGTTAACCAGCCAACACATAGGAGGAAACTCTCCCATGTCACTTATAGCACCTCCATTCACCCAGTTACCCTTAACCCACACTCCCCACCCAATACATCACTAATTCCTGCTGAAATAACCTTCAAACCTGAACTCTCACCCACCTGCTTTGCTCCATCTCCACCACCACCGCCTCGCACAGAGACACCTCATGCTCACCTCTTGCCAGGACCTCAGCACTCCCCAAATCTACCCTCGCCCCCTCCCATCCCTCTCTTCACAAGAGCCAGCATGGCACCTTAGAAAGGCAGCTCTGATACCGATCCCTGGTTTATACCCTTCAATGGCTTCCACTGAGTTTAGGACAAATCCCCAAACCCTTCTAATGGCCACAAAGCTCTGTGGGATCAGTCCCCACCCACCCTCCAGCCCCACCTTGCACCCCTCCCCCTCTCTCTCTCTGCTCTGACCTCCCCGGCCACCTTTTACAGTCTCCTACACCAAGGAGCCTCTCTGCTGTCCTGGGACCTGCCCACTTGCATGCAGTTCTCTGTCTAGAACACCTTCCCAGACTCACTCACGCACACCTACACTAGGGTCCCCTTGTCCTTGAATGCCCCCTTTGTGAAGCTGCATCTCTAGTAATATAATCAACTTCAGGTCCCTGGTCACATGTTCTCTCCCAACACCCTGTGCTTCTCTGTGGCTCAGTTACAATCCATGTGTCCATACTGACTGGTGGGGTTTCTTGTTCACCTCCCAGCTCCTCCTCTAGAACACTAGCAAGCTCCACAGGACAGGAGCACAGCTGCTTAGTTCACTGCCAGTGTAGGGCAGAGGAATTTGTAGGACAGAGGAATTCTTCCAATTGTCGGGAATTTACTTGGGTGGGGCAGTGAGCTAACTGCAAACCTTTGCTTCTGGTCATTGCTTGCTTGCTACACCGCTGTAAGGGGAATTATGGGATGAAGTCATTGAAGCACGGGCGACTGGCCCATCAGGCAATAGAGGGCAACCAACCCGCCAATTATTTCAAAAGGCAATGGTGGGCAACCAATCATTTTAAAGGTCAACGCATGATCCATGCGTAGTCAGCTTGTGCGCAGCTTGTGCACCATGGGGATAAAAGGCATGCCGTTGTTCCGGTCGGGGTCCTTGCCTGTGAGAGTGGCCACTGCGTTGGTGCTCTGGGGCTTGGACCCTGGCTAGCCAGAAAATAAACCTCCTCTTGTGTGATTGCATCCTCGATGTCTCTGCTTTTCTGTCCGGTGGGGCTATGGAAGGTCGGTCCCTAACACCAGGTTTCTAGCACTGAGTCCAGTACCTGGCCTTGACTGGCTGCCTTGTGAGGTGTGACTGAACATTCACCTCTCTAGTGGCTGAGAGGACACCTGCTTGTTCAATATTTGATCTGGGAACTCCTTCCTGCACTGTCAGAGACGCCTGATGTGTCTTGCCTCCAAGAAGTCTCCTCTCAGAGGAACTAGACAGCCCCCATGCCTTTCCCAGTCACTGCTACAGCCACTCATCCCTCCCTGAGGTCACGCCCAGATTGCCATTTTAGTCACTCATCCTCAGACTCTTGTGCCTTTCCTTTTAAGAGCAGGTCTCCTCTGTTACTCCCAATTTCTTTCCTAGACAGCAACCTTAACTTCAGTTATAGGGACACAATGTCCTGTCAACCCCAAAAAAAGACATTACAGAAAATTATCTCCAAATGTGCTGAGTGTATTCGAGAACAAGAAAAGAGGATTACAACCCAGGATGTGGGAACGGCAAACCACACGTGCATCTGGCGAGGGAAGGGTAAAGGGAAGTTTTTATTGGCAAATAGGGGGAGGTTTGTGTAAGATGCTTAGAAACAGAGTTCATTGGTTCCAGAGGTTCAAGCCCACAGTTGTGCTTGGTTCATGGGAAGAGATAGTGTTACTGGACAAGAGTCTTTTTGAGAGCATATTACCTGAATTACTGCAGTCTAGAAGAATGTCTAGCAATAAACCTTGTCATAGAAATAAACCTATGGCCGGGCGCGGTGGCTCACGCCTGTAATCCTAGCACTGGGAGACTGAGGCTGGCGGATTGCTTGAGGTCAGGAGTTCGAAACCAGCCTGAGCAAGAGTAAGACCCCGTCTCTACTATAAATAGAAAGAAACTAATTGGCCAACTAATATATATAGAAAAAATTAGCCAGGCATGGTTGTGCATGCCTGTAGTCCCAGCTACTCGGGAGGCTGAGGCAGGAGGATTGCTTGAGCCAAGGAGTTTGAGGTTGCTGTGAGCTAGGCTGACGCCACGGCACAAAAAAAAAGAAAAGAAAAGAAAAGAAAAGAAATAAACCTATATGTGCAAAACCTGTAAGCTGTGCAAAGCAGATTTTTGAAGTTAACAGGCCAAGTTCAACAAAAGCTATGATTCCCTTCATGCTTCAGCCACAGAAGAGCTCTAGTACAGCCAACGTGCACTGAAAGTGCCTTGCCATCCTTCAAGTTTGGTTTCCTTGTTGTGGGGGTTGTCTTGAGCATTGTATGATGTCAAGCAGCTTCCAGTAACACTTCCCCATATGTAACAACTAAAAATGTCTCCAGCCATTGTCAAATATATATGGGGGGAGAAAAGAAGGAGCTAAATCACTCTCACCTAGAACCACTATTCTATCCAATGACTGTTCACTCATCACTACTAAAAACTCTCTCCTCCACTGGTTTAACTGGTAACTCTCCAAAAAGTCTACTTATGTATCACAATGGTACTTTTAAAAGTCTGTAATTTTTATAATAGTATTTGATGAACTAAAACCTATTCTCCAGATGTTAAGAAACTTGTAGGTAGTTAATCCATAAACATTTGCCTTATCTCCCACGCCAAGCATGGCAAACTATAGAGAAGATCGGACACCCATCTTCCAGTGCTCTTCGAGAAGTACAAATAGTGTAATTCTTTTCTTTTCAATTACAATCTGAAAACCTGAATTCACGTGAAATATTCTGCCTGACCAGGGCTATTCTGCCTAATGAGCCACATACCCAATCATTTCAAGGGTAGCAGGACCCGCCTTACTACTATGAAAACAACTTAGGTATCTCACTGGGAAGGCAGTGGAGGTGAGGGGACTGCAAAGGTGGTGAATTCAGAATGAGAAGTTGGGAGAGGTGACAAGGAAGTGGAGAGTGAACCTTGGCCAAAAAGGAAGGACAACAGTGTGAAGAAGAGATGACTCTGCTCGAAATAAAGCCTTAAGACCTTACCTCTCACTTGCGAGAGAAAGTTGAAGGCCACCAGCTTGCACGCTTGGCTCTCAGCCAGAGGGGCAAGGGTGCGGAGCCTAGATCTCAGACTCTCTACCCTTGTCTGGGCCCCTAGGCCTGACCCTTCATTCAGACTCTCAAAAGACGTATTAGCAGACCTTGTGCAGGGACACGTATGGAAAACATCGCCGCACCCTAGGAGTTTACTGAGAAGCCCCACACTGGACAGGCTATCACAGGGACAATGAGAAACGACAAAGAAGAATCGCAGGGACCAAGTACTCCATCGCCAGAGGCACTCCGCCCTCCTGGTCCATGGAGTCAAGGCCCCACTGCCGCCTCGTATCTCCGGCTCCGATCCTGCCTCCACCGCGCTCCCTTACCCAAAGTTGGCCCAGGTCTGCAAGTCGCCATCCGGTGTACGAACCTACAGACTCGCAGCTGAACTCTGCAGCTTTCCTCCTTCCTCACGCTTCTCCAGCTCCTCAAGCCTTAATGAGCCGCGCCAGCCACCGTACTCGAGGCGGCGTCGCGTCCGTGACGTCAGTGCTGTGCGCCTCTCCCTCAGAAAGCATATATGGCTCTAACACGGCGGTTGCGGCTGCTATCCCTTACGACTCGGTTGCTACTGGATCCCCGAAGGAACCTGGCTGTCCGCGGTCCCGACGAGCCCCTGCCGGTGGTGCGCATTCCGGTGGCTCTACAGCGGCGGAAGGAACAGCTGCAGAGCAGGCGGCGGAGCTGCCGGACGCCGGTGCTAGTGCGACCTGGACCGTTGCTGGTCTTGGCGCGGCGGCCAGAGTTTAACCAGCCGGCGCGCCTCACGCTGGGCCGCTGGGAGTGCGCGCCGCTCGCCTCGCGTGGCTGGAGGAGTCGGCGCGCGCGTCGGGACCACTTCTCCATCGAGCGCGCGCAACGCGAGACGCCAGCGCTGCGGAACGTCTCGTCCGAGGAGCGCAGCTTCCCGGACCTGGGTCTGGAGCCCCGTGTGCTGCGCTCACTCCAGGAGGCTGCGCCCGAAGTGTTTCGGCCCACAACCGTGCAGTCGAGCACCATCCCCCCGCTACTTCGCGGCCGCCACATCCTCTGCGCTGTGGAAACCGGCAGTGGCAAGACTCTCAGCTACTTACTATCGCTGCTTTAACGGCCTGTGGGCTGGCCAAGCCTGGACTCCCGCCGTATCCCCGCTTCCCGGGGCCTGGTCCTTGTGCCTTCCCGAGCTCCTTGGGCCTGCAGGTGCAAAAACTAGAGGGAGGCCATGGCATGCGTAGGATCAGGCTGCAGCCGTCCAGTCTTCAGCAGATGTGCTAGTAGCCACTGCCGGAGCTCTGTGGAAGGCCCTGAAAGGTCGACTGATCAGCCTGGAGCGGCTCTCCTTCTTGGTGTTGGATGAGGCAGACACGCTGCTGGATGAAAGCTTTCTGGAATTGGTGGACTACATCTTAGAGAAGAGTCATACAGCCGAAGGCCCAACTGACTTGGAAGACCCCTTCAATCCCAAAGCTCAGTTAGTGCTGGTGGGACCCACATTCCTGAAGGTGTAGGCCAGTTGCTGAGTAAGGTTGCCAGCCCAGACTCTCTCGCCACCATCACGAGCTCCAAGCTCCGCTGTATCATGTCTCATGTCAGACAGACATTTATGAGGTTGAAGGGAGCAGAGAAGGTGACTGAGCTGGTGCAGATCCTCAAGCATCATGACAAATCAGACAGGACTGGACCCTCAGTAGCTGTCCTGGTGTTCTGTAATAGCTGTAGCGCTATGAACTGGCTGGCATATATTCTGGATGACCACAAAATCACTTAAGGCTGCAGGGTCAAATGCCAGCCTCAATGACGGCAGGCGTCTTCCGGTGCTTCCAGAAGGGCTCCCGAGATGTACTTCTCTGCACAGACATAGCCTTTCCGGGCTTGGACAGCATCCATGTGGAGCTGGTTATCAATTACGATTTCCCCCTCACCTTGCAAGATTACATCCACAGAGCAGGGAGGGTGAGCCATGTGGGGAGTGAGGTTCCAGGCACTGTCATCAGCTTTGTAACCCATCCCTGGGATGTGAGCCTGGTTCAGAAGATTGAGCTGGCAGCTCGCCAAAGGAGAAGCCTTCCAGGACTAACATCCTCAGTGAGAGAGCTGTTGCCTCAGCAAATCTGATTTTAGCTGGCTTAAAAGTGATGGCAGAACAGGGATCTTTCCCAGTGTCCTGGGCGTGTAAGCACATGTCTCAGTTGGAGGCTCTTGGCTGCCCTGTCACCACCATGAGGGCCAGATGAGCTGGTATATGACTGGGAAAGGTAAGCTACTGAGCATGGCTCTCTGTAGTCTTTCACATGACACATGAAAAATACACTGGATTTTGACTTTGTATCATGTCATAATTTCCAATTATGTTTTTATGTGTCTCCACTAATAATTACCAATGGCCTATTATTCCCACTTTGTGTAGTCATTTGAGACTCTCATTTGGAGCACCTATAACATCTCTCCCATTGATCCCTTGGAGCACCTATAACATCCCTCCCAGTGATCATCACCTTTAAACATTGTGACCTTATGCTCAAATTTCTTTGAGCTATAAATCTGGAACCCCACATGAAGCTGTACTGTTGAGCAGAATGCCTCTCCACTATCTGTGTGGCCTTGGCCAGGCCCCCAACCTCTCAGATTTTTTGATTCCTCACTTATTTTTTTTTTTTTGAGACAAAGTCTCGCTTTGTTGCCTAGGCTAGAGTGAGTGCCGTGGCGTCAGCCTAGCTCACAGCAACCTCAAACTCCTGGGCTCAAGTGATCCTTCTGTCTCAGCCTCCCAAGTAGCTGGGACTACAGGCATGAGCCACCATGCCCGGCTAATGTTTTCTATATATATTAGTTGGCCAATTAGTTTCTTTCTATTTATAGTAGAGACGGGGTCTCGCTCTTGCTCAGGCTGGTTTCGAACTCCCGACCTCGAGCAATCCGCCCGCCTCGGCCTCCCAGAGAGCTAGGATTACAGGCGTGAGCCACCGCGCCCGGCCAGATTCCTCACTTATTAAAAAAAAGAGGCTTGTATGAATTTACATTTGGGACAGAACAAGGTCTAGAAAAGCTTGTCTTTGCTTTTATTCCCCCCAGTGGGAATGTCTGCCCTCTCCTTTCCATGTGTCCAGATCTCACTTGCCCTTCAGGTGCACCTACAAAGAGCCTGCCCTCATCCCCTAGTCCATCTAAATCTCTGCCTCTCCAACTGTTGAATGGTTAGGGTGAGGGCCATGCAAGCTACCTGCCTGTTAGCTTAATCTTGCCTCTCTGACCAATGTCAGAATTTGAATGTCTCTCACCCTTCTGGGGTCACTGGGGCTGTCTGTGCCAGCCTGCAGGTGTGCTCCACAGGAAGTGGCTACTTGACTGGGCCATGGGTGGGAAGGGCCAGATGTGAGGGCCCAGGCAGGGTTCCTCTCTGCCTCTGCTCTACTCTCCACAGAACTCCAAGGGCCTGAAGGCTGCCCCCCTACTCACAGATTGCTTATGTGACCTCACTGGGCAGTGATGACCTCACAGGCCTTCTCAGGTTCCACGGCAGGGTAACTATGGAAACGTAGTACCCTTGGGGAAACTGCCCTACCATGTCTCTTCGAGATACCAATCTGGTTGCCTGAAAAAGAATGTCTGATCGGATCTTGTATATTAACTCTAACTTGTCCTCTGTCCCCTGGGAGGGCTGCATGGCAGGTAGGCATCTGGACAGGAGGCACTGGTGTGCACACAACCTCACCTGGCTGCCACTTTTGGGTTTTCCCACCATGCCAGAACTTCTCTAGCCATAAGTAGCAGCAATGGCCTGGGGTCCACTTAGGGACCCACAGTGTTCCTGCTCACTGCTGAGAGCAAGTGAAATGAAACACAGCTCTGAGCCAGTGTTCCTAAAGTTTCTCATCTTTTCAAATTCAGCCTTCCCTTTTGAACCACAAGATGCTTCCAGTCAGACCCTTTCCTGATTGGCCTCTTAGCAAAAGCCAAATGTGTTTTTGTGGGCAAGTGACAAATGAAGCAGTTTGAGGCAGAGCTATCAAGGGACACTCATGAACCTGCCCCCAGACCCAGGCACCTTTGCTGTGCTGTCCTGAAGACACATCCCAGTCTGAGCCCTGGGGACAAGCCAAACATCACTTAGCTGGGAAAAAAGGAGAGCCAAGGGGAGTGTTGTAGCACGCCGAGACTGGAGGCCTGAAGAAGTGGTGTTCCAGGAGGTTGCATAGATGTGACAAGGCTTTTTGAGCCTAGAAGTGGTACCCAGAGGCTGGCTCTCACCTTCTTGGTCACTCTGCCTTAGCATTTGGCCTTCAGTGTTAGAAAAGCTAGATAAAAGTATCCGAGGGCTGGAGTTCAGTGTGGGGGAAACAGGCTGTATGAATGAGGCCCAAGAGGAGCTGCCACGGTGGGAGCGGTTCTTACCTGATTTGTATTACACCATTGATCCAAAACACGAAAACCACTTCCATGAAATCCTCAGAAGTGAGAGACCTTAAGAATGTTTCCTCGGTTGTGGAAGGGAGAGACTGAGGGGGTCCTGACTCCATTTATTTTGAGGTTCCACTGTTCTCTCTGGGAATGGGGAGGACATCCTGGTCTGCTGCTGCCACAGGCTCCAGGGAATTGCTTTTGCAGCCAGTGTCCCGTCTGTAGGGGACCCATAGAGGTGATAGACTAAGGCTGTGCTTGGGATGCCAAGCAGATGAGAGGGCTTCAGCCAGGTGCAGGAAGAGATGTGAGGGGGAATGCTGACAGCACAGTGTACACAGCAAACATTGACTGATTTTTTTTTTTTTTTTGAGACAGAGTCTCACTCTGTTGGCCAGGCTAGAGTGCTGTAGCGTCTGCCTAGCTCATAGCAACCTCAGACTCCTGGGCACAGGCGATCCACCTGCCTCAGCCTCCCGAGTAGCTGGGATTACAGGCATGTGCCACCATGCCCAGCTAATTTTTTCTATATATTTTTAGTTGGCCAATTAATTTCTTTCTATTTTTAGTAGAGACGGGGTCTCGCTCTTGCTCAGGCTGGTTTCGAACTCCTGACCTTGAGGAATTCTCCCACCTTGGCCTCCCAGAGTGCTAGGATTATAGGCGTGAGCCACCACGCCCGGCCTAACTGATCGATTCTGCTTTCCTTTCCAGCACCACTGCCTCCTGCTTGTCCGCCTCTACATAGCTACTACCACCTCCTCTACCAAGGGTGTGGAGAAGCCCAGGTGGGCTGGCATGGGGAGACGTACTGCCTGGGTGGAGGCTACCGGCTCTTCGGGGATGCTCCCTTGGCCACACCAGCAAAGCCTGAGGCAGTGAAGCCAGCCCCCAGAATCCCCAACCTGCCTCCTGAGAAACGCCGGGCTCCCAAGAGACGCCGGGCTGTGAAGGAGGGAGAGAAAGACCTAGGTTGCCCTAGCCCAAAAATTCGGCGTGTGCTCTTTGGGGATGCTCCTCTAGCCACACCAGCAAAGGCCGAAGCAGAGAAGAAGCCAGTCCCCAGAGCCCCCAACCTGCCTCCTGAGAAACGCCGGGCTCCCAAGAGACGCCGGGCTGTGCAGGAGGGAGAGAAAGACCTCGGCTGCCCTAGCCCCAAAATTCGGCGTGTGCAGCATCGCGCCAGGAGGCTGGCCCGCAAGAAGGTTGCTCGCTCAGCTGCTCCGCAGAAAGGGCAAATGTTGAGCTCCCTTAAACACCTAAGGCCTCTTCTGCAGTGACCTCCACATTCCACTACTGGAGATACAAGCTCAGCCAGCTAGCTGCCTAAGCCTTCCTGAGCCAGGAGCCCCTTTCCGTCCTAACTGGCCCTGCACGAGGAGCCTCAGAAACTGAGGCTGCTTTGAACATCCAGGGCCAAAGCTGACCTGGAAGAACACCTAATGGTCTTCTACTCAATCTTCTCGAGTTCTTCCTGGGGCAAGAGAAAGAAAAGTCTGCATCCTGCTAGCCGAGGACTCAGGTGCAGAGAGAGGGTGCAGAGCAGCCCAGCAGGGGCTTGTCCACCAGATGAGCTTCTGCTCTGAGTCACTGCCAGCAACCACCAGCACAGACCAAGAGGGATCAGACTTCCTGAAACTAGAAGGAGAAAATGGGGCTACCCACAGCAGGAGGAAGCCTTCTGCCTGGGGTCTCAGGAGACAGAATAGAGAGACCCAGGGAGACCTGCTGCCTGGAGCAGGAACAATACGGAGAAAGTCAAGCAACACCCTGAGGCTCACAGGCTCCTCTATTCCCAGCCTGTTATGGCCCCACTGGGGTCCCTAGTGCTCAATAAAATGATTTTCTCTAACAGTGTTTGACTTGCAATTCAGCTTTGGTCCAAGACCAAGCCCCAAACATCCCTGTTCCCTTGAAGTACATTCCTACATGGAACACTTGGTCCTGTTAAGACCTTCAGCCTTCAATGAGGACCCTTGGGTGCAGCTTCTGTGTGATTCCTGCAATGACAGCAGAACACAGACAGAAATGCAGAGCCTGGTGAGTGCTTACCTGTAAGTGTGTGTATGTGTGTGTGTGTTTGTGAGAAGAGGAGGGGCAAGATGAAGAATCTGCTGTCCATCTATCAGCCGCTTATCCATCCCTCCAGCTGTTGAAGTATCTATTGAGTGCCTGGTACATACCAGCCTCTGTGCTAGTTGCTTGGAATATACTGGTGAATGAGATGATCCTATAACCAGCTCCATAAGCAAGAAAACACTTTTTATTTTATTTTCTTTTGAGACAGAGTCTCACTTTGTTGCCCAGGCTCGAGTGAGGGGGTGCTGTGGTGTCAGCCTAGCTCACAGCAACTCAAACTCCTGGGCCTCAAGCAATCCCTCCTGCCTCAAGCCTCCCAGTAGTTGGACTACAGCATGGCATCCACCATGCCCAAGCTAATTTTTCCGTATATATTCGTTGGCCAATCTAATTTTCTATTTATAGTACGAGATTGGGTCCTTGCCTCTTGCTCAGGTTTGGTTTTCGAGACTCCTAACCTCAAGCAATCAGCCCGCCTCGGCCTCCCAGAGTGCTAGGACCTTACAGGTGTGAGCCACCACCGCCCGGCCTTTTTCTATGGTTGCCAATTAATTTCGTATTTATAGTAGAGAACGGGGTCTGTCTTGCCTTGCCTCAGTCTGGTTTGAACCTTCGACCTCAAGCAATCGCCTGCCTGGCCTCCAGAGTGCCTAGGATACAGGCAGTGAGCCACCTGGCCGCCCGGAAGAAAACAACTTTTTTAATAATTTTTTTTGGCTAGTCTCTTCATGTTTTTTAAGTGTCCAGGCATAACAGTTGCTGCCCAGAGCTTTGTGACTTCCTGTTGCACTGATGCATCCCCTTTTGAGTTTCTTTCCCAGAAACGGCAGAGCCTCCCTGGAACCCAGGAATAAC